TGAATTTCAGGAGGGCTTTTCCTCTTGCAGAGCACAAACTAATGTCTGTGTTTTTCTGGATGGAAGTGCCCTGTGATGTTCCTTGACACCTCTAACCCTGCCCGTTGCTGCCCACAGCAGGAGAAGATAACTTCTTCCAATGCCTATTCTGCTCTGTCCAGCCTGCTGGAGAGTGATGTTCTAGGGTCGATTCAGAAAGACAACTAGAAGGGAAGGCATGGTCCTGGAGCCATCGGTGACACTAGGAGAAAGAGTTATTTTTGAGAGTGGAAAAGGATATTAAAATTGAGACAAATCCTGCATCCTTCTTTTAGTGGAGAGGTAGGAAAGAAAGGAACTGAAAGGTAAGGAGATGTGCTGGAGGGAGTCACTCAAGGCTGCCATGTCCTGCTATAGCTGGCTGTGGCTGGAAAAAAAGCAAGACTGGTCTTTGCAGGGAGATGAGTTAGTGTTACTGGGAAGAGGCAGGGGACACAAATCACTCATAAGGAGACTCATGGAGGATCGTCCTGTGTACAGCATCTGTTCCTGGGTTAAGTGTGTCACAGACTCCTGGCTGGGGAAAGAATGGTGATTGTAGGGTATCTTTGACTCTACCCATGCTCTGCCTTGGAAACCTTTGGAGGTTTCTTCCTTTGCATTTCCAGGAAATTCATTCACCATAAAAGCAAGAAGTTTTGCTTTTCTACTCAGACCTGGTAGAGGCCAGATTGAAGAATCGTTATAAACCTGTTTAACTAATGTCCAAGGTAGAGAAGTTAGCAGCAGGTTGACTTTTTGCATCCTGGTGGGATGAGATTCTTGGGCAATGGCAGGTCGGCATAGACCTCAGCGTCTCTCTCACACAAACATACCTTGCATAGTTACTCTTTTAGGAACAGATTTTTGCTTCTTCCCCTGTTTGGGAGAATCTTTTACCCCAGGAGGACGCAAATCCTGCCTACATTTTAGAGCCAAGAGGTATTTCAATTCACTTTGTGCTCAGGATGTAACAGCTTAAGCAGTGTTAGACATGTGAGTACAGGGCTCACATACTAAAATGGTCCTGTGGCAGCCTTTGTAACAATTCAGCGTTGCTCTTTGTCTCTTCTATATAATTTCACTGTTTAAGGGCACACTGAAGAAAATATAATTGCAAATCTGACCATCTCCGTGACTTTGACCTCTTCTGTTGAACTTCAATAACAGTGCCTGAAGTGTGGAGCATAATCGCAGCAGCTTCCAAGCAGCTCCCATCAGAGCTAAAGCCTCTTAATGGGATCATCAGGAGCTCTGATATGAGCAGCAAAGGCAATTTAGCTATAAATTTTTAGCTATAAAAAATAGCAATTAACTTTTGAGTTCAAGGGGCTCTTTAAAACAGAAAACAAATGCACATCATCAGTAGAATCTTTACACGTATTCCTTTCATCTGTTCATTGTAAGCAGCTGAGTGATGAATTCTGGAACTCTTAAAGTGTAACTGCCTGGATGAGTTAATATTTGATATAGCCATTCCTGAATCTTGTAAATATTTTTTCTTTAGTTACACATTGGATAGAAAAGGGAAATCTCATTCTTGTAGATGAACTAGGGACCGCTATTTTAAATTTCCATTATATGATCTAGTGCCAGCATTCAGAGAGCCCTCCTGTGCTTTTCCCTTTGCACCTCTTGAATATGTAGGAATCATTTAAATCATAAGCCAAAGAAACCTCTGTTATTCAGAACCAGTGTTGCCTTCCACAGACCACATACAGAGCAGGAAGCAGTACAAATGATCACAGACATGCATGGAGCACAAAGAGATCCTGGGGGAAGCATGACTAGAAGCTGTTCCCCTTTTGCATGAAAAGGATCCGCATGGGCAGCAATACAGAAGAGCCTGCAAAAACCTGATGAGTCCAGAGAGATGGACACCTTACGAGAATATAATTGTTTTGAAATCTTCATCTTCTTTCTCTATCTAGGATGCCATGTGCTCACACTTGAATCAGTAAATCTCTTCCGGAAGTACATCTCCCTCCTGGATGTGCCCATTTCCTGCTTCCTGTCCAGAGACGCACTCTTCATACTCACAGAGGAG